GATGTCAACCTCTGGCCTCCACACACATGTGCACACACATGCACATGCACCCACATACACAAGTGCACATACTCACAGGGGACACACACACATATATATGTGAAATAAAATTTAAGAAAATTATAAAACTATTTATTTATGATTATTATGATTATTAATCACCAATAACTTAGCACCAATATAGCCTTTGGGCTATATTGGTGCTAAGTTATTGGTGATTAATTGAAACTCCCCAGAAAGCACATTTGATGCTGGGATGTGGTAGGGAGCAGAGAGTCATTTCATTTCAGAAAGGGGTGGGCAGAATGAAACGTGTGAAGTATATTTCAGAGGAGTAAAGCGGGAAAAGAGGCCTTGGGGGCCCAGAGGGGCTGCCTTGCTCCTGTCTCCTGTCACTTTGGGCCGTTGACTAGAACGGGAAGAGGGGAGCATGGGTTGCCCTGACAGAGAAGAGAATGAAGTTGGTCCTGTGAGACTCCTTGCCAGAGAGGCAGAGCTCAGTGCTTCCACCTCAGAGGGCATCTCCCTTGACCTCTGAAGCTGTCAGCATAAGTCCAAAGAATGCACAGATGTTTTTCTAAGTGCCCTTGTTTGTTCACCAAAATTATTCAATAATACTTCATTTTCAACCAAGGAAAATGTCTAATTTGTGTAGCACTTATAAACTAAAGGTTTATATTTACCAAGAAAATGTGATTGCTGATTTCTTTTTTTTTAAAATTTAATTTATTATGTATGCAATATTCTGTCTGCATATATACTTGCAGGCCAGAAGAGGGCACCAGATCTCATTACAGATGGTTCTGAGCCACCATGTGGTTGCTGGGATTGAACTCAGGACCTATAGAAGAACAGTCAGTGCTCTTAACCACTGAGCCATCTCTCCAGCCCCTGCTGATTTCTTTGATGTATAATTCTCAGTGTAACTCAGTGCCTTTCTTCAAACCATTCACACTGATTCTCCAAGGAAAATCACACTCTTTGTAAGCTTAGATGGTAGGAGTATGAAACGTTTACTTCATTTCATTTAGCTATTTTAACGTTGGGGACATAGATTGCTTATTCTATGTGTCACATCATATTTTCCTTGTAGGTAGTCTTTGCAACCAGCTAATTAGAGAACTCAGTGTCTTTATCCTTCCCTGCCCCTGGGAGCTACAATAACATCTAGCCTGGCAGGTACAACAGTGGCACAAATGTTATGGGAGTAACCACTTGTTTGCTGGTTGGATTTCAATCCCGCTCCACAAGATGAAACTCATGCTCAGTACAATTAATGGAGCTGAAATCGTGGCTGCTAAATGGACATAGTCATAAACCACCCCCTAAGTTCTCATCGTATTATTGAAAGCTGATTTAAACTCCCTCAGAAAGCACATTTTATATGTAATCTGTTATGGAAAAGAAAGCCTTTTTGCTTGAGAAATGGAGGAATGGACAACTACTGTATCTTTCAGTCCTCATCAGAGAGCTCCCCCGACTCTCCCCCCGGTAGACGGTGATTAATTCAGACCCACAACTGGTCAATGTGTGGGAAAAAAGACCGTGGAGTGCTCAGTTCCAAACAGGACACTGGCATCATCCCCTCACCCTGTGGCTCAGGCTTCATTGTCACAGAATGGGGAAGAAGGATGGTGAGAGCCCGAGGTAGTGGAGGACCATGGCAGCACAGTCTTTGGTGGGCGTGGCAGGGCCATTGCACACGCCACTCACAGCAGCTGAGACAGCATGCAGGAGACCAAGCCAGCCATAATGCCAGCATGCGGGGGAGGGGCTCAAGAAGTCCCACCCCTGGCCAAGGAGCCATGAGGAGTGGAAGACTGCTGAAGGATAGACAGTCACTTTTTATCAGGGATGTCAACTCTAAGACACTACCCATTTTCCAGTACATTGTCCCACATCCACGAGCATACAGGAAGCATTAAGTGAACTCAGTTTAAAAAATAATAATAATAATACATGAAGTTGGGAGAGAAAAGTAGTGGAGGAAGAGTGGAAAAATTGGAGGGGAGGGGTAGATTTGATCAAAACATCATATGTGAGCAATTTTAATCTAACAAACAAAACCTTTGAGCGTAACCTTCACAGCAAAAGCTGTACTCGGCCAAACCTGTCTCCCTTGACTTTGCTAAGTATGCTTTCTCCTGAGTCCTCTGCCCCAGGAAGGCTGGTTTCACAACCTGGTTCCAGGTTTCTTTCTGGTCAAATATAAAGCATCTACCCTCAAGTCCTGAAGCCTAAGAGCCAGTTCACTGAGGAAAAAGAATTTCCTAGTCAAATATACCAGACTTGCAAAATAAATGCCATGCTTTCTCTAATTAAAACAAAGAGATCTTTGTGATTTAATGTTGTGTTCCAGTAAAATATGCTATTAGAAATGTTTACATCGGTATGATAATACTCCATATGTTTTTACCTCAGTAGAGTATGCATCCTGCATATATATTCTAGAAACCATTAATAGAGAGAAACTGCTAAGAAGTAACTCTGAATAACTCTCAGTACATTCATTCCTTTGGTCTGTGGTGAATTTGTCAATCTCATTTGAAGGTAGTACATTTCTAACTTTTTGGAGTTTTAAAGTTGTATTTTATTTACATAAATTCATAACCTCCTTTCCCTTCAAACACTATGACCAAACACACTTTAGAAGAGGAAAGGACTTATTTGGCTTGGACTCATAATTGAGGGAGGTCAGGGCAGGAAGTCGATCAGGAACATGAAACAGAGACCTTATGTGGTTGCTGCTTCCTTTCCTGGCTTGTTCTCCCAGGCTCATGTTTCACTGGCTTTATTATACAGCCTAGGGATCACCTGCTCACGGAATGATGCCGCCCACAGTGGGCTGGACCCTCCCACATCGATTTACAATGGAGCCAACCCTCCCACAAACATGCTCACAGGCCAACCTGATCTGGACAGCCCCTCAACAGAGAGGACTCCCTTCTCGGGTGATTTTAGGCTATGTCAAGTTGACAGTTAAAGCTAACTGGTACAGTTCATGATAGTCTTACATTTCTTTAAAATAGAAACAGTATGTTGAAATATCAGAATCTGTTGTTGCTGTGTGACTGACTGCAGAGAACAGAATAGCCTTAGTGATTGATGTAAAGCAAAAAACATATACCCACGATTGTAAGAGCAGTCATTGTAAGAGAACACATGTCATTTTAACTTTCTTTTCAAATTTGGCCATTGGTACTTAGGGACTACAGCTCGATTTGTGTGTGTGTGTGTGGGGGGGGTTGTTGAGCTATTGACTGAAAACTCTAAGAGTCAAGTAGTCTGGGTTCCGACGCTAACTCCAGGTCCCTCTCTGTGTCCTCTGCCATGTGTCTGAACTGCTCTTTTCAGCAGGGAACGGATCCTGGCTTATCATCAACCCTCCATACCTCAAATGAAGCAGGTGCAGAGAAGCATATGTCGATTCTAGGAGGTTAGAGTCTCCATAATCCTGTGGTGTTGGGTGGGATCTTACAAAAGCATGATAAGAAGGCCCAGAAAGGAGACTCAGCTAGAATATTGCTGTGGCCCGCGCAACTGGAGCACGCAATCTGGCGAGGGACGCCGAGGTTAAACAGCACTCTAGACACCCAGTTTCAGTTCGTCAGGGAAGCAGCTCTCTTTATTCGTGCCAACATGGGCTTATATACCCCTCTAACAGCAGGGGTCAAGGAATGGTTACTCTGTATCCGGAGGCAAGCCAGACACTGTTTTCCAAACAGGAAAAACCACAGGGGAACTGATCCCCAGCACCCTCCAGAACCCAACTGCACATTTTCACACAAACAACTTAACTGGGACAGGACAAAAAGGGGCATTTAAGATTAAGGCAGCAAACTTACTGCTGCCAACAGAATATAATACTGCTGAATATTGTGATCTGTTTTTACAGTTACCATTAGTCAGGCCCTGGTGGTGCAGGCCTGTCATGCCTGCTGCTCAGAAGACTAAGGCAAGACGATTCAAAGTTCATGGCTCAGCTAAGCTACACAATGAGTTCAAGGCCAGTTCGGGCACATTAGTGAGTCCATGTCACAAAAAGTTAAAAACCAAAATGGTTCGGCGTGGTCAGTGAGTAAAGTGCAAGCTGGAGCCTCTGAGTGAAGATACCCAGAACCTAGGTAGTGCCAGATCCAGTAATGCACATCTGCAATCCCAGCATTCCTGTGGTCAGACGGGAGACAGAGACAGAGAGACAGAGACAGAGGAATCCCTGGAAGCTTAGCGGGTGGGGCTGCTAGCCCGGCATACAAGCTACAAACAACTGACCTTGTTTCAAAAAAAGTGGAAGGCATGAGCTGACACTGACACGGAGATTGTCTGCTGACTCCACGTGTGTACTGTGGTATGCATGCATACATACACGCACAGAGAGAGAGAGAGAGACAGAGAGACAGAGACAGAGACAGAGACAGACAGACAGATTTTTTTTTTTTTTTTTTTTACAGAAGTAAAAAAGATGTTTGGGAATACAGGACAGTGGTAGATCACCAGACTAGTACATGTAAATCCCTAGGTTAAATACCTGGTACTAGAAAAAACATGAAAATAATATAAAATAGAATGAGTTATTCTATTCAGTATCTCATTATACTGGGGTCCCAATGATCAGTCTTTAAAGTTAAATTTTCCACATTCCATGAAAACAATATTATTGCAAAATTAAAAATATATGAGTACATACTAGCTTCTCACACAATCAGTCCAGCTGGGCAGGAAATCCCTTTTTGGTCAAAAGACGGCACCAGCTTGCCTGCTTCATACAGGAGGGACGTCAATGGAGCTGGGAAAATGCTCTTGACTTTAGAATGGTCAGCTTGTATATTACCCAGCAACTGGTTCAATGACGGAAGGGCATTCTTCTGCAAGTCCGTCCTTGCTTCGTCCATGAGTCTCAATACAGCATGTCCTTTAGTAAAGGTGTGTATGTTATCATTTCATTCCAGTCGATGGTGACAAGAGCCCATGCTGAAGGCTGCCTTGCCTCTCTTTGCCAGATTTACCATTAGCAATGGACTGCAGACCCAGCTTGGGGTGTTTGAGATCACACTGGAGACTGTGGACAGAGCCTTGCCTGTGGTGACCAGGAACAAAGGGCTGAAGCTGGCCGAAGGGGCGGAGGGCTTCCTGTCCGCTGATCACCTTCAGCTGACCGACCCTGACACACCTCCAGAGAACCTAACCTTCCTTCTGGCCCAGCTCCCACGCCATGGGTACCTCTACCTGAGGGGAAAAGTGCTTCACCATAATTTTACCCAGCAAGATGTGGACAGCAGGGGTGTGGCCTATCAGCACTCCGGAGGCGGCTCCCGGGCGGACTGCTTTACTTTCCTGGCCACAGACAGGAAGAACCAAGGCTTTGTTGTGAATGGGAAAGTTCAGAAAGAGCCTGTTCTCTTCACTATCCAGGCAAGTATGGCGGGCACATGGTTTGTGCTAGAGATGAGGAGAGAGCCATTTCAGAGGCGGTATTTCCTTACTTCCATCCCTCTGGCATTAAGACCCAGGCTGCAGCATGCCAGGCCACCAGTGTGGCTGTGCAAGGGGCTGGCCTTCAGAACTGGTACAAGTTCAGGAAGAAACAAAAACACGGGCCTTAGAGTCGGGCAGACGTAAGCTTGAATTTCCGTGTGGCCACTTATTATCTGGGAAACCTAAAATGAACTCTTCGGCTCCCCCTGTCTTAGTTATTGTTCTGTTGCTGTGAAGGGGCACCATGATCGAGGCAGCTTATAGAGAAAAGCATTTGGTTAGGGGCTTGCTTAGTCCATGGCCATCATGATATGGAACATGGCAGCAGGCAGGCATGGCATTAGAGCAGTAGCCGAGAACTTATAACCTGATCCACAAGCTCAAGGCAGAGAGAGTGAGATTGGGCCTAGTGTGGAAACTTTTGAAACCTACAAGTCCATCCCCTCAACAAAGCCATACCTCCTAATCTTTCCTAAACAGACTACCAACTAGGGAGTTAGCATTCAAATACATGAGCCTATGGGGCCATTCTCATTCGGACTACCACACTTCCTAATCTTTGAAAAGTATACCTGCAGAACTGGGGTGGGAATGAAACAGGATTAGGTATCCAAGGCACTCATACACTGCCTGAAACATACCTAAGGTACATACTAGACATTTGTAATTACAGCTGTGCCATTAAGGATTCTGCTTAGTCGGGCATGTCATCTACTGGCATGTTAAGGATTTTCAAATAAACATGTAAGGGCAGAAGCCTAGACGGCTGTATCAGTATCACCCAGGAACAGATGATAACGATAACAGCAGCAGCAGATATGAACATTTTTTTCCACTTTTAATTCCTAGACAGTTTCATGCACCTGTATAATGCATCTTAATTATTTGCATTTCACATTGCCCCTCTTTATCACCCTCCCCTGCCCCACTGAAACCATTCCCTAGCAAGCGCCCCCCACTTTCATATCTCCTTTGTGTGTGTGACCCACTGA